CAATGTCCTCATTGCTAGCTCTCCTTAACTAACGACATTTCTTAGCATATTATGGTTTCCCCTGAAAAAAGATTTACAATAGACAGGTTGGGAAGCCATTGACCAAACGGCTTTCTTCACTAAAAATAAATCACAAATTATATGGGAAACAAACTAGCATCCAGCTAACTGTAGTAAACAATAGCTATACCAGTGCACCAGAAAAGCAAAGCATAAAAACCATAAATATGCACCCAAAGTCAGAAGGTGGAAAGATCAACTGTGAGTCTGTCAACCTGTCCATTGGTTACTTTTCGTAAAATCAATGCCTACAATAAGGTTTGAAGATTCAAGACCGGCTTGTGCCAAAGCTTCAGTCACCTGCAATAGATAAGGTACAATTTCAGTCTTAAGTTCACAATAATTGAAGGGAACTAAGGAAAAATCATGTATTAATAGAAAGGCAGTGTCATTTAAGTTACCAAAAAAACTGAAATGATGTTTTTGATGACATGACAGTACACTACCACAGCACCATCTGAATACTTTAAGTAATTATGTTTCATGCAGGTGTAGTAGCAGAATATGAATTGATGTCCGATTTAAATGTTTGATTGTTATAGCCATCAGCTTAACTAGTTCATAAGCCTGATTGCAGACACCACGGTCTGTATTGAAAATGCAAGGAAAAGTAAATAGTGTTACATCTTATAGAAGATGGCAGTTTCTTTGGGAAAATATAATGCAAATGCAAGGAAAAATAGTTTATCATCACAAAACCATACGAAGAGACTAAGGCCCTGTTCGGAATCCCGCTAACTCCGCGAAATACGGGGAGCTGGAGAGCCGGGAAACAGGCGCTCCGCCGTTTTCCACTCTAACTCCACCTGCTCCCGGAGTGGAGCTGTGGAGCGGAGATACTCCGAATAGGGCGTAAGATTTATACATTTTGTCAAACTAAGTACACTTAGTTTCATACTGTATAATTAAATCATCTGGTCACTCAAATAAATGCTGAGAATATGATAGGCTAGGATGTGGGAGAAAACTAAAATCTATATAAACTAAGACTGGTCATAGTGGGGAGTAACTTATAGTAGTGTCATACATATGACACTAGTCTAAGTTGCTACTTTTATAGTGCAAAATAACATAGTAGTAGTGTCATAGATGGCTTTATTTATTAGCTTGTAGACTCATCCTTTCTCGGGAAGCGCTATGTTACAGTAACATATTATGTTACTCTAAACATCTCTCTCCTCATTAATTACATGCCACATAAGAAAAATTTTCTTGAAGTGCGCTGTGTTACTACCTAAGTTACTCCCACTATGACTAGCCTAAGACTAGCCACAATGGATAGTAACATACATTAGTAACATACACATATCCCTAGACTATGTTACTACCTTCATAGTGGGTAGTAACTTAAGGGTGATAACATGCAAAGATTCATTTATTAAGTTATAGACTCATATTGCATTGAGACATGTGATGTTACAGTAACTAGCTAAGTTACTACAAGTACCTCTCTCCTCATTAACTCATTGCCACATAAGCAAATTTGCTGAGTTGGATTCGAAGTTACTGCTGAAGTTACTCCCACTGTGGCTAGTCTAAGGTCTACTGCTTCTCATATTTTAACTAGGTATTAGGACCATTGACCATTCAGTGAATTAGTAATTAATATGTTTGAGCGACAAGTAATTCCGGACGGAGGAAGTATCAGTAAGTCCTGACTGTAAAAGAAGAAAGCCCATCAGAAATGCATTCACCGGAGATGTACAACTTATACACTCATAAGACTTAATGAAACCAAAGCCAGCACAAGGAAGGTGACCATGGCAGTGCGGATGACCTAAAATTTTGAAATGGTTGGAAGAGCAATAATTATAGCTAGTAAGAGATAACTTCCTTTGCTGATGAAAATCTATTATGGTTTCTATACTTGTTGAAACCCCTATAGATAAAAATATTCCTATTAAATATACTTTGCATTCAAATTTTTACATAAGATGACTAAATAAGATGAATGGTATCATTCAGCTACATCTAGATGAAAACCATTCATCAAAAGTTGGGAATGAAAATTAGGGAGCCAGGGGAGGCCATCAATACATACTTGAGTCACAGTGCGGTAGTCATCGCCAATCCTGGAGTACTTCCTCTGCAGAGTGGCTTGTGCTTCTGGTTGCTGCACATTGTTGCCCGCAGAAGAGGCATACCACGGGCTCAAACCCGGGGGTGCAGTTGCATATCTCGAGTTAGACCCTGTTGATGAATTCCCGTAACCATAAGCAGAGTTGTATGAAGGTTTGGGGGCCTTTTTCTCCATTCCTCAACTACTGAACTTCCTGGTGAATGGATGAAATGATCAGTACTTCTCTACACTAACTAGTTGGAAACAAGACATGGTTGTCATGCATACAACAATTTACTTGCTTTACTGGATTTCATGAGAACTTCTGAAATAAAATGTGATGCTAGTGGAATCGATATAGGTGATATTCTTATGGAAACGCTTACCGGTAACTTACTATGGTGGAAAAATCACCAGCGCTCAATTGAATCACCCAATTCATAAGGAATACAACATGATATGATCAAGATAATCATAGCCGAACATTGTCATGGGCTCATGGCAGGAAGAGAGCATAATATAAACTGCTAAACCATACAGAACTAATAGTTTTAGGTTAAAATTACTGTAGCATCAACTTAGAAGAAAATCGTAGAAGTTAACCAAAAAGCGGATCACCAAGATAAATGAGATTTTCGGCCACAAACACGAAGCCACGCCAAGAAAGTGTGGCCCCAAGGCCTCTAACACGAAAAGCCGATGACAAAGAAATTTACAATACGTTTCAAAACAAAAAATACTCCCTCCGATCCATATTAATTGTCGCTAATTTAGTACAAATTTGTAATAAATAAACGGCAAATAATATGGAACGGAGGGCCCTCTACCCTTTTCAGAAAGAAAGCTCTAAGGGACAGAACGAGATCAGACAACGACCTACCTAAAACGTCAACTTGTGAGTAACAAGAAAGGGACGAGAGCAGAGAGGGCAGAGGCCAGATTAGACTTGCTGGAGCAGAAGCGGAACCCACAGTTAACCCCAACAAACCATCATCTCCCTCTCCCCCACTTCAAGATGAGTAAAACAACCATGGGTAGGGCTTCTTACTCTGCTCTATGTATCAAAAACGCAGGTCTCCGCTCCACGGCAACGGCCTGACGACAAGGAGGAGTAGAGGAGCAGCCGCTTAGCTGCAAGATATATCATATATGCACCGCACGACCAGGCAAATAAGTACATAATAATCAGGGACAAATGGTGGCCAAGTCAAGTCAATCGCCTGAGGTAATGCAGTTGGCAGCAGAGGCAAATATCTGAAGCTTTGTAAAATGATGAAAGACAGAGACAGATGGATTAGTAATTGCTCAGTCATCTCCACAGGAGAGATAATATTTTGTATGATTAGAATCTTTGCAAACTTGTACTACAAGATAGCAAAATTCTAAAAAAGAATAACAAACATGATTAAATATTTTATGAGGATTTGGTTTAGTGGGTAAACAAGAAATTCGCTTTCAGGAAAAGTATGCACTCAATCCATCCCAAAATCTAATGCATAATAGTATTGTTCAAAGACCAGCTACATGAAAATATGAATACTTAAAATAGCAAATGTATATATGATGTGAACTTGATAATTTTTGGGACGGAGGCAAATTGTAGATGTTGACATTTCTTTTGTCAAAGTTTATGAAGTTTTACTTAAGACAAAACCAATATATAGTATATTTTGAGACAGATGAAGTACCTTTTGTTTGGAACAAGCCTGCATGCATGATCTGGGCTGAATTCTCTCTCTCCTCCTCCTTAGAGCATCTCCAAGTTAGTGCCCAAAAATAGTTTTAGGGCTGGAGAGAAAAGGTTTTTGTACATCAGAGATTTTTCTGTCGTAACAGATGATGTAAGACTGGTTCCCTAAAAATTTGGCCTTCTTCAACTATCCAACATTTTAAAGCATGTTCAACAAAATAAATCCAAAAGGATAATATCAAACTCATGTCAAATTAATCCAAAGCAAACAAAACACAAATAGTACTTAATTACACAGTTCATCGATCCACAAGCTCAAATTCAACAGACATGTTCATCAAACATAACACAAAGTTCAACGCACATGACATGAAACATAAAGGTGGTCTTGTTGCCCATTCCATGTCCACCACTCCTCGATGAGATCTCTTCTTTGAAGATCTTCATGAGTATCCGCATATTGAATGCCACGGTGAACTTGAAGAAAGCGTCGGCACAGCACCGAGATTCGTACATGCATGCAGATATATATGCTCTTCCTTTCTGCCGTGTACTTCAATTCTCTCTCCCTCAAACTTGCCCTTATTTAACCATTACTACTGATGGTATATTTGAGGATGAAGCAACAGTACTACTGATACTCGTAGTATTACTGATACTCATTTTACACAGGTAAGATTGATTGCTTCATCCTCAAATATTCTGGTGTTCGTCGTATTTACATTATACACACAAAAAATATACTGAAATAAATGAGTACAAAACTGAATATTCAACAATAATAACAGGTTTTAATTAATATACAACGCAAATGTCTTTCTAGTTGGTTCATCCTGAAATTTCTCTACTGTTCATTTTATTTACAAGAGAAAGAAAAGAAAGCAATATGTACATTATTTTCCAGGGAACATTCTTCAGTGCCTTGTATGGACAGTAAGAGCCCTTTTGGAACACAGAAATTTTACCGAAACAGTTCAATCCACATTCCCCTTACGGGATGGAGAATAAACCCTGCATTACAACAGGGCCTTAAATCACCGGCTAATTCAAGACACTCCAACTGCAGTAAGAACACTAAATTTTTTGCGGATTCTGAACATTTTCCACCAAGCTTCTTCAGTATTGGCAACGCCATAGGCTTCGAAAGCATCAGGAGATCAGCTTTTAGTCAGTACAGCCTGATCCTGGTGGTTATGTGCTGCTGGCACATAGGGCAGCGCACCAAATTTTTCCCGCAGTCATAGCAAGTCTGAATTATGTGTGTTAGCAATTAGTATATACAACAAGAATTGTGAATAAATGTTCAGAGGAAAGTAAGGGAATATTTTCTGCACCTGATGTCCACATCCAAATGCAAGATCCTTTGATTTATCCATACATATGGCGCATGACTGCATGCACAAAAATGCCAGGCTTAGTTCATATTCCACTAAAATTAGAGGGTCTGGCAGTTAGCATAAACTTTGTCAGTATACACAAACTTAGCATTTGGAAGAGGAATGATCTGCATGTGGCCACAAGATGCAAGTGTATGTGTCAAAGTACAATAGCAAGCTACAGTCTACATTTGAAAAAGAGCATAAATATTTTACAGGCAGAAGTGAACCGAGGATAAACCAAATTTAACTAGCAGTGTTTTCTGAAATAGTATTCCAAGCACTGAAGTTCGGGGGCATATCCAATGAAAACACACAAATTCCATGACGATGTGCTTCGTCAGCTTGAATTTTTTTTCTAAAAGAGGCTACTACAGACAGGTACGTTCATGTAAAAAATTCAACTTAATTCAAAATACTTTGCAATAAGTATCTGTCTTTTTTATATCTTGCAAAGTATTTCGACTTTGAAGTTAAACTTTTGCATGGATACTAAACACACTGTCCTTAGTAGTGGAAATTATTTGAGAATTTTTTAAACTTCTATTCGCTGTTTTCACAGCATTGTGCATTTTCACCTAATAGTTCCCCCGTATAACCCTTAGCATCGGCAGGTCTGAACGTGCAAGAGTATTGGTTAAAAAGATTCCATCAGGCTTTTTTGGCGGTGTAGATAAAGTTAATTTTTACTACACCGTTTTATTTATTCATATATGGGTATGAAATGGTGGGAATACGGTGTAAACACGAAAAGATACGTACAAGTGTGCTTTCTGAACTTTCTGATGCATAAGTGTCGGGTATCCTTGAAGCCGCAGGCTGTGAACTTTCTGATGAATAACTGTCAGGCCTCCTTGTAGCTCCATGCTGTCGCTGTTTGAAATTGTCTGATTGCTGAAACCCACTTGTTTGTTGACCAAAGCTGCTAGACCGTGAATAAACACCAGACTGTTGGTCAAAGCTAGTAGACCGTGAATAAGGAGTCCTTGTTGGTGGAGGCAGAGGAACTCTTGGAGGTATTCCTTGGCGACGGCTGAAACAGAGGAAGAATCGAAGAAAGTGGTCAGATGGCAATATAGTCTCTGCAAGCACAAAGCATTGTTCTACTTGACTCTGAGGTTGAAAAAACATAGAATACCCAAGGAGTTGGAGATCAAGTGTTGCTTTGTACTGCGTAGGGATTTCCATCAATGCTGACAACGCAAATTCAGCCTCTTTTCTATCAGCTGCTATGCTCTTTGACATAATTTCCGTGAAATTCACAAACTGCATGAAATTAAGTATTCTTTCACGTCTCAGTTATTGAGAACCAGAAAAACAGCTAAAGGTTGGATGTAATTTGTATGGCAATCACCTGGAAATTATCGAATGACCGAGCAGGTATGTTGTCGTCAAACTTATGCATCATATCCCATGGTCCATCACCGACCCCAACAAGAACAATAGACAAGGGAAAGTGGCTGGAATATTTTCAAAATAGATGTTATTGTGTGCAATTTGTTTAGGAGAATTGACTTGGTAGAATATAAAGGTGTTACTTTAAAATCCTGAATTAAGTACCTAGCTTTCACTATAGCATCAATGGTATCCCGCTCCTGCGGACTTAACTGCCCAGACTGTGTATCCACACTTCGAGTAACCTATCAGCAGAAATTTTAGCCAGAGTGAAAACTGGTTATACAAGCAAGACATGCAAGAGTCACCATCACTTAATGGCTATAAAGAACATGTGATTCAGAAGCACAACTTGGTGAAACTGTGGTGCACCTGTCCATCAGCAATTATCAGAAGAACATGATATTGACCACCGGTGCTGTCTGCAATCCCAATTGCTGTCTCAATTATTGGAGCGAAAGATGTTGGTCCTGTGCAAGTTAAATCCAGATTATTTCCGTACATCTTTTTTTGTGGGAACTCTTAGCTATTTCTGGTAGCAATTTTGTTCCTCTCTTCACTTTTATGAAATCTACATTAAGTGAGTACTTAAACAAACCAGCTAATCGAAGAGTTGGAACGATTTCTCTGTATCTTTCCAATGCCTCTTCAAATCCATTGCATGGTTGGTTCTCTGGATAAAAGCTGAATACCTCCTGGTCATGAGTTGATGCTGCCAGAAGGGAAAGGAAACATTATATTCAATACATGCATTTAGACATTTTATTGAAAATCCATGAAGTGGTCAATGAAAAAGAAAATTGGAACCTTAAGCTTACCATCACCAAATCCAAAGCAGGGAATCAAATTGTCTTCATCAAAAGCTGAAAGTGTCCTTCCAATAATAGATATGGCTTGCTCATATGGGTTTGGAGTGTTTCCAATATCATGTAGACAGCGGCGGTTATAGGAAATTTTACCTAAATGGAAAAGCATAGCAAGTTAAATGAAAATGCTATGATATGATATAGAGTAGATGATTGTCACATATAGAAGCAAGGGTTTGGAATGTTTATAATTTCATGTAGACAGCGGCAGTCATAAGAAATTTTACGTAAATGGAAAATTATACCAAGTTAAATGAAAATATGATCTGACATAGATGATTATCAATATAAGATGCAAC